AAATAAATCTATAAATGTAAATGTACAAGTCAAAATAAAATAATGAGTTGTACAGTTGTAGGGAGTATTATCTGTTCCATAAGGGTGAGTTGTTGTACAGTTGTAGTTGAGTGTTTGTTCATTGATCTGAAGGTTGGTAGTTTGAATCCTGCTCATGACATTAAAAAAAAAAAAAAAAAAAAAAAAAAAAAAAAAAACAGCACACAGAAAATGACCAGGGCCACAGATAAGAATGTAAATAAAAAGGACAGAGACATAATTTAAAATATGTCATTCAAATGTATTAAAAGACTAAAAATGGGACAAGTGAAAAGTTGAAATGATTTAAATGATTAAAGAGCCAGGCAAGTGGGTAAAATGATAAAATGGCCAAAATGAATAAACTCTACTAAAATAAGAATAAAACCTTGTAGCCCCTGGTGCAGAGGAACCAAGTCCTGAAACAGAAATAAATGTTAAAATTCAACCAAACAAGGACAAGCTGAGAGGAGGTAGTCCCACCCAGAACAAAACGGAAAGTGCTACCACAAAATCACAACAAAATAATTAAAAAACCCAAAGTGCAAACACAAAGGTACGAGCTAAACCCTCCCAAGTACGACCGGGGAACTTAAACTAAAGCTCAAAGCCCAGCTACGGCAACCATAAAAAACATGTTTATTTAAAGGTGGAGTACAGCTAAAATATGATATAACTTTTAACAAACAATATAAAACAAACAAAAAAAACAAAAAACCTACAAACACAACAAAACAAACAAAACAAAACAGTAGCAGACCAAATCCTACAATAAAAGGACAGGCAAGTGTTAAAAAAGGATTAAAACTATGTTAAAAATTTGATTTAAAAGCTACTTGCCCTTAAAAGTTCTAATAGTCGGGGGAAAAGGTCTACCACCAGTTTAACTTTAGCTCTAAAACAATAGTCAAGGACCCATTAAAACCACTTTAAAAGAGCTAAAATAACTAAAATAAAGGTTCAAATCTTACCTGACACGAGCAGAAGTCAGGACTGAGGCTTTGCTGCTTAGCCTATTTAAGCCCGACTTCTGCTGGCACAGGAAGTTGGTGTCAGGTAAATCTAAAAAGTAAGGCCCTGCCCACACTAGTGTGTATGCGAGTGTTTTTTGTTGTGGGTGCAGTGTTCGTCCACAATAATCCGGTTGAAAACAGCTCCAGAGACAGAACGAACTGGTACCTCCAACTCCCACGGATTCATCTGAGTACAGATCTGATCTGCACTGTGTGGACGCCTGAAAACACTGATACTCTGATGTAGTTCTGTGCATCATCTGCCACAGTGTGAACGTGTGTTCTTTGATGTAAAGTGATTTGAGTGCAGTATAAGACTGTGACCATTTACTATTTTACAGCATCTCGGGTCCTTGAAAGTTGGGAGGCCCCTCGTCCCTGTTGACAGTCCTGTGAGCTTTCTGGATCTCCTTAATCCAGTGTTTCTGTTTTTCCTTTTTTTTTTTTTCCTTTGACATAATATAACTGTGAAATGACTTGATACAGCCCATTAAAGCACATCATCAAACCACTATCAGCCTATTTTCAATATATCGATCAATTCAACTTTACCCCATTAGAAATCTGACGTTCATGTTCCAATGTGACATTAAGAGCCGACAGAAAGGCACATTGTGTAACTTCTAAACCTTTTCTCCACGGACATGTTATTGCTTTGTCTGAAATGTTTCACAGTATGGCATTAAACTTTTCTATTTTCATGGAGACCAATCCAGACCATGTTACAGCTCAGATCTGTGGAGAGGCGACCCCGCTCACAGTCACAATGTCTGTTTTTCTATGTATGATTGAGCTGTAAAACCACCTGTGATTTAACATCGAGCTGTTTAATGTAACACTGTGGGACATTTCCGACAGAGCAATGGCATCTCCATAGAAACATGCAGGTGACGGGCCTCTAAGCTAAAAGTTACACAGTGCACCTTTAAGTGGTGATAATAGTAAAGCAACTCTCAGGGAACACATCAGCCAGTGTTAGGTGACCCAGATGACATCACAGGAACAATTTTGAAAAGACAGACACAGGAAATTGAGTTTGGAATCAACAAAGCATAAAAAACAATACAATTATGGTGCTTCTTGGAGAATTTCACATACAAGACACCACGTAGATGTTTCTCCAGTTGATTTTGTGCTTTGTTTCATGCATGGAAATGTGTGGTTTACAAAGGCGGGCCAACTCAACTATATTCACAATGTTTATTTGCACCATTAAGCAGAGCACTGATGCCAGTGTACTGCCCGGATGATTAAACACTGTGAGATCTATAAAAGTCTTTTCTCTGCGATTTCTGATACTTGGGAACTCCTCTCAATGGAAAAACTGAGCTGGGTTCAAATGCGTCATATTTATCACAATCAGTAGAGGAACGTAACAAAGTAAAGTAGTAAAGTAGTGTACTTCATGAGAGAGAGAGAAATACTTTACTACTGTTCTTCTCAGTGTCCTTTGTGTCTCAGTCATAGGTCTCAGGTCAGTTTCACAGGACGACTGGTCAGGGAGATCAGCAGATCTGTGTCAGGACAGTCTGAAGAGAGGAAGAGCCAAAAGTGTCTCTCCTCTGTGTCCTGCAGCATCACATCGGCCTCCAGGGGGCGCCAGGTGAAGAGAACAGGAAAGGCCTCGTTCTCACTCCACTCTGATGTTTCCATTGGTGATAAAATTCCTTCAAAGTGTTTCTTCTGGAAGATCATCTGCCACATTTGCTGTCACATATGGTGTAAAAAGAGTAGTATCTCTAATGTCCATAGTTGTATTTTCCACTAATAGAGGAAAAACAAACTGCTCATTTCCCACAATCCAACAGTCCCTCACTCATGTCCTTTGAAGTGCACATGCTGCACTTCTTGGGTTAAGGTTCTAGGGTTAGGGTTCCCATATCCCAGGTATGATGTTAAAGACTGAGCTAAAAAAAACAAAAACTAACAAAACCTGCTCAATGTGTGAGACAGATAGCCCCAAAAGCCGCCAACCATTCCACTGTTGTTATTTGAAATCTCTATGTGTCTATAAAGGTGCATTGTGTAACTTTTCTGGTAGAGGGCCAGTCAAAAGCTTTTCTCCATGGAGTTATTCCTTTACCTGGAATGTTTCACAGTATGGCATTAAACCTTTCTATCTTCATGGAAACCAAACCAGACCAAGTTACAGGTCAGATCTGTGGAGAGGCGACCCCGCTCACAGTCACAATGTCTGTTTTTCAAGATATTTTAGAGCTCTAAATCCACCTGTAATAAATTACATGTTTTAGGACTGTTTAATGTCACACTGTGGAACATTCCAGACAAAGCAATAATCCAAAGAAACAAGTAGGTGACACACCCCCAACTGAAAAGTTACATAGTGCACCTTCAAGTACATATTTTAGGTATCTGTACTTTACTTACATTTTTAAGTGGTTACTTTTGAATTTTACTTCTCTACATTTGAGAGCATGTCTGTATCTGTATTTTCTCCGCTACCATTTTTAACTCGACTGAAAAGTATTTTTATCATAATTTGAGACCTACTTTTCAAACATTTGTAGTTTGAAAATAATTAAATAAATGAGAACAGCAAGGCAAAAATAAATAAAGAAATTGTTTCTGTTGAACAAAATTCAGCACAATTTTTTTCTCAAAATGAATACACTTGAAGTTCTCAAAATTTGCTCTAATCTGTAAATACATTTTTAAAAGAGTACTCTAATACTTTTACTAAAGTAGACTTTTAATGCGATACTTTTACTTGAGTATTTTTTCTCTGTTATCTGTACTTTTGCTTAAGTAAATCTGTACTTTTACGTAAGTAACAAAATGGAGTACTTCTTCCTCCACCACTGATTATAATGTTGTATTATTTTGTTGAATGCAGCGTTTCCTCTATTGTCCACAAGATGGCACTCAAGTCTGTAATATGTTCTACCATTTAAAGAAACCGAACGGCAGCCTAAGAATAAAATAAATACAGAAATACAATTACGTGGTAAATAAACACATAAATATAACAGAACAAAAAAGAAGGCTAAAGAAATTCAATTGAAAAAAAAAAACACTTAAGAGCATGTATCCGTATTTTCTACTCAATTCTACTACAATTTTTAACTCGACTGAATTTTTTTTTTTTATTATAGTTTGAGCAAATAAATAAATAAATAAATAAAAACAGCAAGGGAAAAATTATTAAATTAATTGTTCCTGTTGAATAAATCAGCACGAGTACTTTAATACTTTTACTAAAGTAGATTTTTTTTATGTGATACTTTAATTTTTTTCACCTTTTTCTGTACTTTTGCTTCAGTAAATCTTTACTTTTGCTTAAGTAACAAAATGGAGTACTACCACTGATTCGTTGTATTATTTTGTTGAATGCAGCGTTTCCTCTATTGTCCACGAGATGGCACTCAAGTCTGTAATATGTTCTACCATTTGAAGAAACCGAATGGCAGCCTAAGAATAAATTAAATACAATAAATACAAACAAACACATAAGTATAACTGAACAAAAAAGAAGGCTATGTAAAATTAATTGAAAAAAATAAATAAAACAAAAAAATCACACCTTCACAGGCCCCAGCGAGGATCGAACTCGCGACCCCTGGTTTACAAGACCAGTGCTCTAACCACTGAGCTATGGAGCCAGTGACGCTCTGTCAGTTTTACACGTCAATATTATATCTTACCACGTCAACACGAAAGGATTAATACTCGAGTAAAACATGAATCTAAAGTCTCGAGTATCGCATAAAAGTTTAGTGTCACAATAGCCACACCTGCGCATGCTCAGTTATTCGTGACGCTATTAATTGTATTTCGTTGCAAATGTCGCGCCGATGTGTGCTACTATTTCAATTACATTACCTGGAAAATATAGAAATACTTAAGCAAAAATCAAATGCATCAACTCAAAGTGAACGCGAAACGATTCTGGGTCAAACGTTGTAGTGTAGCGCCCTCTAGCTGCAGCAGTCGTCTGAGATCATTCAGGGACACTGTAAACTTTCCCCTGCCTCACCCTCTATTTGTCTTGAACTCTTCCTGCCTTCCTTGTCTGTTTCTCGTTTTTCTCATTCTTAGATAGCCGCTCTCCACGATGGCGGTGGTCACGGGTTTGTTGAGCTCGTTGACTCCGGTGCTTTACGCGCTTCTCTTTTTGCTTTTCGTCGCGTTCCTGAGTTACTGCGCATACATTAAATACATACACATGAAGTACGATCACATACCTGGACCACCGCGAAGCAGGTAAGTCACAAACTAAAGTAAGTGCTTAAAAAAAAAAAAAAAACAAACGGAGAAATGTCTAAAAATGTCGTGTTTGTTTATAGTTTCATCTTTGGGCATGCGAGCATTTTTTTGAAGTACATCAATTCCGACCGGCTTATTTTTGATAAAATGTTAGAATGGTACGTAAAAATACACAATACGTTTATTATACATATATATTATGATGATGACATGACATGACTGCAGGTCAGAGACGTACGGACCGGTGTACAGGATCAACTTTCTCCACAAAATTCTAATTGGTGTCACGTGTCCAGAAGCTACGAAGGTAAGAACGATATAATATAAAATACAGTGGTGGAAGAAGTACTCCATTTTGTAACTTTTTGGATGGGGGTCCGTCACCTGCTTGTTTCTATGCCTTACATTTCAGTTTAAGTGCAGGTGGTTTTATAGCTAAAAAATACCTAGAATTACAGACATTCTGACTGTGAGCGGGGTCGCCTCTCCACAGATCTGACCTGTAACTTGATCTGGTTTGGTCTCCATGAAGATAGAAGGGTTTAATGCCATACTGTGAAACATTCCAGACAAAGGAAAAACATCTACATTGAGAAAATAATTAGATGGATCCTCCACCAAAAAAGTTACAGAATGCATCTTTTGATAAAGTACAGTTATCCAAATATGTATACTTAATTAGAGTACTTTTACTTTGTAATGTTCCACCTCTGATAAAATGATGTAATCATTGTTAACTCAGTGTTGTGGTTTCAGGAAATCCTCATGTCATCAAAGTATCCCAAAGATAAAGGCTTTCACAAGAGAATTTTTCATCTGTTTGGAGTAAGGTAAAGACTCTGTCCATCTCAGGAGTAAGTAGGCAGTGTTTCTGTTGGAAGGTCCGCCACCTGGTTGTCTATAGAGATATTATTTCTTTGCCTGGAATGTCCCACAGTAGGGCATTAAAGTTATATTTATTAAAGGTCCCATATTACACATTGTGAACTTTGAGCCATGTTATAATGTTGTTACCTCATCTCAAAACATACTTGGACTTGTGTTTTATGTCACTTTATGTCATGTGTTTGTCTATATCTTCAAAGCTCTAAATGCTGTGTTCCACCTTGTGATGTCATGAAGTGGTTATTTTCATGTTAACAGCTCCTTTTTTATGTTTAGTTCAGCAGAAACTGGCAATACCAGGGCTGAAAATATCCAAATGACCTCCACAGATCTGACACAGATCTGACATGTTACCTTAACCCTAACCATAATGCCATACTGTGGAACATTACACTGAAATGTATCAAATCAAATTAATTTGTATAGCACATTTAAAACAACCAAAGCTTGCCAAAGTGCTGAACAACACTGAAACAAAGTGAAATAAAACATACAATAAGAAAATCAAGCATAATAATAATAATAATAATAATAATAATAATAATAATAATAAGCAAGATTTGAAAGTGTCTCTTCCTTACTCTGGGCCAATGCCAAGGAGAAAAGGTGCATTTTGAGAAAGGATTTAAAGTGCTGCAGGTCCTATCACATCTCAATGGACTCAAGCAGTTGATGGATCCTCTGCCAGGAAAGTTCCACAGTGCACCTTTAAATCTGACTTTTCTGTGTGCTTTGCTTGATGTTCAGGTTCTTGGGGGACGGTCTGGTCACAGCTGTAGATCACGACCTGTGGTACAAACACAGACGCATCATGGATCCGGCCTTCAGCAGCCTGTGAGCCACATGCACTTTTCTCTGCTTTAAATGAAATAAATACACTCAGAAATGTTCAACTATTCCATTATAACTACAGATACCTGAGAGGCCTGATGGGCACGTTCAATGAGAGGGCCGAGAAGCTGATGGAGCGTCTGTCTGAGGAGGCTGACAACAACAGAGAAGTGACCATGCTCCATATGGTCAACTGCGTCACCATGGACGTCATAGGAAAGGTAAAACTACACTGTCGTGCTGATTTAAAGGTGCATTATGTAACTTTTCTGGTGAAGGGTTTGTCAAACGCTTTTCTCCATGGAGATGTTATTGCTGTATCTGGAATGTTTCACAGTATGGCATAAAACCTTTCTATCTTCATGGAGACCAAACCAGACCAAGTTACAGGTCAGACCTGTTTCTAGGTATTTTTGAGCTGTAAAACCATCTGTAATTGAATAAATGCAGAGTAGAACTGTTTAATGCCACACTGTGGAACATTCCAGTCAAATCAATAACATCTCCATGGAAAAAAAAGCATTTGATGTATCCTTTACCAGGAAAGTTACACAATGCACCTTTAAGAGTGGGGTTGTGTAATTTGTCATTAAGACATCAGCTGCTTTTCTCCTTATATGTGATAGTGTCTCCATAGAGAGTTAACATATTGTACAAGTAAATGTTTTTGTTTGTTTGTTTGTTTGTTTCAGGTTGCGTTTGGAGTTGAACTGGACCTTCTCAACAAAGATTCTCCTTTCCCAGATGCCATTGAGACATGTTTAATGGGACTTGTAGTTTGTGCCAGAGACCTTCTGTATGAGGTATTCCAAGTTTTATTAAAGGACCTTTATTAGGCAAAAGTGACTCTTGTGAGATTGTAGACATGTTATAATGTTGTTCCCTCCTCACAAACACACCTGGAGTTGTGTTTTGTTACATTCACACATGTTTGAGTAACTCTTTATTATTAGTCTGCCTACATCTTTGAATGCATCTTAGAATGCTCTGTTCCACCTTCTGATGTCATGTAGTGGTAGTTCTCAAGTTAACAGAACCTTTTGCCTTTAGTTCAGTAGAGATTGGCAATGCCAGAAATCCCTGAAATGATCCACATGATTCTAGTGAAGGTGTATGGAGTTTAAAAACACAATGGAGGACTTACCACATGACATCACAAGGTGGAACAGCATGTTTTCACTGTGAGAGAAGAACTCAGCGTAAATGTGCAGGGTTTGTGTGTTAAACATGTGTGAATGAAACAACAACACAACTCCAGGTCTGTTTGTGATGAGGAAACTACATTAGTACATAGATCTAAATGAATTGCTTTGGGTCACAACAACTTTGGTGTGGACACGTAATAACAATTTGAAAATGTAATTGTTGTTTTTTTCAGTACAAGCCGTGGAACAGAGATTTCGTTCAAAAGGTGAGAACCGCCTGTCGCCTGCTGCGTTCAACTGGAGCTCAGTGGATCAATGAAAGAAGGATGGCCATGCAAAACGGAGAAAATGTGCCCAAAGACATTCTCACGCAGATCATCAAATCAGCCGGACAAGGTAGAGAGTCCCCTTCAAAACTCCAAAAACACCAACACACGCTGCACATTAAAGTGACAGGTTTTTATGGTTCTCAGATGTTTACTTGATTTGGTGGGATAATACCTGTTGTAAATATAAACTATAGTTTTACACAAATTTGGAAAGAAACATTGGAAATGATGTTGAAAATTACAGAAAGTAGAGAGTTCTATTTCAGAGAGCCCCACATTGATGACATGACACTGGGAGAATTCTGTCCAAAAGTTCACCACAATTTACACAAAAGAAGCAATTTTTTTAAACATTATTTCAACAAAATAAAGGTGCTTTCTTGTATTTTTATTTGTCAAAGAATAATCTTGTGTAGTTTTTTGTGTAGTGTGTGTGTTTTGCCCCAATGTACTACATAGTTGCTAAGTAACAGTTATGGAATTTCCTAATATTATGTCAATGATTGGTTGATTTCCAAACAGGAAGTAGCATTTTAAACTTAAGAAAATGGCAAACTTGGACCTTCTTTGTGTTTTAGTAAAATTAATAGCCCGTCCTGTCGCAGGCACTCACATTTTTACTTTATTTGGTGGGATAACACCTTTATTCATCAAATAATAATTTGTACATTTGAGGACTTTTGGCTCTAGTGTGATGACATGATTCCCAACCAGGACATGATATTTTGGTGAAATGAGTAGTTTAACCTGTCAAAGGTACTGTAAAGATGTTTTTGTTTTTGTTTTTTACAGAGGAACACATGACCAAAGAGGATGAAGAGATCATGTTGGACAACTTTGTGACTTTCTTCATTGCAGGTGAGAAAAAGTGTGTGGGGAACTTCAAACTTAAGGTGCATTGTGTATCTTTTCTGGTGGAAGGTCCGTCAGCTGTTTGTTTCTATGGAGATGTCATTGCTCTGCCTGGAATGTTCCACAGTGTGACATTAAACAGCTCTGCCTTACATTTATTCAATTACAGGTGGTTTTAGAACTCAAAAATATGTCTAAAAACAGACATTGAGACTGTGAGTGGTTTCGCCTCTCCACAGATCTGACGTGTAACTTGGTCTGGTTTGGTCTCCATGTAGATAGAAAGGTTCCAGAAATAACATCTCCATGGAGACAATATTTGAAGGACCTTTAAAGGTGCATTGCACAGCCTTTCTGATGGAGGGTCCCTCACCTGCTTGTCTTCATGGAGATGTTATTGCTTTGTTTAGAATGTTCCACGGTGAAGATTAAACCATTAAATCAGTGGCAAATGTGCAGAAAGCCCTTTCTGTTTATGGATATCCAAAATGGGTTTTCAATAAAACACAGAGAGTTAAAAAAAAACAAAAAAAAACAGGACAAGAGAGGTCAGGCCCAGAGGTGTGCAAGCTCCATTATGGCTTTGAATGATTCTGCTAATATGACCCCACACTCAGTGCAGTTCAATAAGCCTAACTAACAAACAAAACAAGTAACAAGTATTTGTGTTAGTTTAAGAGTAGTTTCAGTGTAGTTAGCTCCTCCTCCAGCAGATATAAGGAAGTGTCCACCAGTGTCTGACCACAACTGAAGAAGCAGCTTGGATGAGCTGAGAAACGTATTTGACCAAATAAAATTTTGTCCAGCTGACAAATTGAATTTCTCCTTGTGCCATGGATTCTACCTGGACAACTGACAGATTTTACTCATTCAATAAGTCTTAAGGGAGACAACTATAGATTACAGGTCAGATCTGTGGAGAGAACGAGCCTTATTATATTTTTAAGTAACAGAAACACCAGTAATGAATAAATGCTACCACGGAACATTCCAGAAAAGCAATACCATCTCCATGGAGACAAGCAGGAGATGGACCCTCCACCAGAAAAGTTGCACAATGCACATTTAATAAAACATAATCTCAGAAAGGCAGTAGAATTCAGATAAACAGCTAAACCAATGATCTGTTTATATTTCTTATTTGTATTTTGTAGGTCAGGAGACTACGGCCAATCAACTTGCATTTTGCATCATGGAACTGGGCAGACATCCAGAAATACTGGAGAAGTAAGAGACAAGTTTGAAATACGTAACAAAACTGATTTATTTCATTGATTTACTTAAAATTACAATTAATGAATTAATTTATTTTAGTTTGTTTTAATTTAGGTATTTATACATCTTTATGATGTTTTTGTAATTTATTTTTCTTTATTCTATTTGTTTCTCTCTTTTTTTTAGCTATTTATTTGTTTAGTCATTTATTTATATTTTAGCTATTTATAATTTTTTTTTTTCAGTGATTATTATTTTTTTTTTTAGCTAATTATTTATTTTATTTTTTATTTGGCTATTTGTTTTTTCATTGATTTAGCTATTTATATTTTATTTTTATTATTATTTTTTTTTTATTTGGCTATTTATGTATTTATTTATTATTATTATAAATTTTTTTTTTGCAATTTCTTTATTTTTTTAATTCATTAATTTCAGGGTGAAACAAGAAGTCGACAATGTTATTGGAGAGAAGCTGGACATAAGCTATGACGACCTGGGAAACCTGACATATCTGTCCCAAGTGAGTCCTTCCTCCAGCCGTTAGAGAAGTATGAAAGTAAAAAAAACATATGAATAAACAGAGAAAGGTGCAGGAATTAGAATAATATTAAAGAATTAGAATATTCAAGGGCTCATATGACCCTGTTTCTATGTTCTAATGTTGTTTCTTCATCACAAACACACCTGGAGTTGTGTTTTGTTTCATTCACATGTTTAACACACAAACCTGCACATTTAGGTTCTTCTCTCAAACAGAAAACACTCCATTCCACCTTGTGATGTTGTATGGTTATACAGGAAGTGCTCCACTGTGTTTATAAACTCCGTACATTTTTACTAGAATCATTTGGATCATTTCGGTCCTGGAATTGCCACTCTCTACTGAACTAAAGCTAAAAAGTAGCAGTTCACTTGAAAACGACCACTTTGTGACATCACAAGGTGGAACAGAGCATTTAGAGCTTGGGAGATGTAGACAGAGTAGTAATAAAGAGTTACTCAGACATGTGTGAATGAAATAAAACACAACTCCAGGTGTGTTTTTGAGGAGGTAACAGCATTCGAAGATGGCTTAAAGCTCACAGGAGTGCGTTTTGTGTAATAAAGGAACTTTAATGTAACAGTGGAGTGATGTTTTACTAAAGGTGCTGAAGGAGACTCTGAGACTCTATGCGACAGCTCCAGGAACTAACCGGGAACTTGATGAGGACATGGAGATCAGTGGGATCCATATACCTGGAGGAGTCAGTGCTATGGTAAAAACTACTGTATATCCTGTATGGATTATTTACAGTGACCTACTGTAAACAATAGATTCCTTGTATTGATGGTTAAGGATTTATAAGGGACAACATCAGAAAGGAGAAGTTAGTGAGGAGTATTTTATTTTTTTTGTATTTATCTGTAAAAGTGCAGCTCAATTTTATGATTCACAAGTTGAATCTGTTTTTATATATATACATTGTTTTCTAGTACATTTGGGTCAGATACACAGAAATACAAAATAGCAATACATAATAGTTGAGAGCTTTTGTCATGCCCCCTTTATAGTCGACTAATCGATCAGCAGTTGACTACAGCCCTAAAAAAGTTTTAGCAAATCAATGAAAATGTATAAACGTTTAAAAAGCTGCAGGAGTGATGTTGATAACTATGGATGAATGGCTCTTGCTGGTTTCAGATGACATCACACCATTCTACAGGTCAGTATTATTTAATACAAAATTGTTCATTTTTCTTGTAATACAGCACGCTCCTGGGTCTAGTCAATAATAGAAATGATCAGGTTCCATATTTAATTAATTGAATTTACGTTTCTGATATTTCGTAGCAAAGTACAGTGTGATCAATAGGAAAACCAGGCTCCTGCCCCCTGTCTGGGAGTTTGACATCATCACATTCTAGAATCTGAAAACCAGAAAACCAAAAAAGAAGCTTAAACATAATATTTGGACCTGTGGTTTATGGAGGCATGTGATGGGAAAACAGTTAAGACTTAGCAGTAGGGAGGCGAGCTATAGTGGGCTATCCATGCTTCTACAAAAGTCTTAAAGCAATGTTCAATTCAAATATGATCGTTTGAAAGTGATATAAAGATATGTTTATTGACAAGAGCTTTTATGTGTTTAGTTCAGCTCATACGTAAGCAGCCGAATGGAGAAGTTCTTCAAAGACCCTCTGAAGTTTGACCCGGACAGATTTCACCCAGATGCTCCCAAGTAAGTCACAAACTACAACTAACTACACAGCTTTATCTCTACAAGCATTGCCTTTGACATATGAGCGTGAAAATGTACTGAGATAGAATCAATTAAGAGTCAAATCTTGGTGGTGATTTGGGTCAACACATAGACTGTTTATTTAAATGGACATAGATAACCGAATGCACAAGCCGCCGTGTTCTAAGTAGAAAGTTCACATGCGACGCTTCCGGCTCCTTCTGACCCTGGCTCCCATTGACTTGCTTCGGAATATGGTATCTCCTTTCTAAAATGTTCATACGAACCCACTCTACATGATCGTGGTGTTTTTATTTTGCAATTTTATTTGTTAAAAAAAAAAAAATCCTAATATGGAGTTTGGCTTGTCACACTCCTTTAGTCCACCTCTGTACACAGTCTATGAGTCAGTATCATCAGGTATATTCACTGATGGCGCCACAGCAGCAGAGGTTAAAGGTTGCTGAATTGCACAGATACAGGAGGTATTTTAAAAGTGCTCATGGATTTCTTTTCATCTAAATTATAAGTTGGGATCCGTATATTATTTTTATCTGCCATTTTCACACTCTTTAATAAGTGGACTGGCATATCCAAATGGATTTTGGCTTATTCTGTTTTGCAGTAACCTTAAAGCATGATCACAAAACCTATCAAAGCGCCACCCCTTTCCCAACACAGTGCATTTCTCCAATATTACAAAGTCTAACCCTCCCTTACGTCAGTGCACATGTTACAACTCAACAAGCAGAGCTTATGCTTTATCTGTACACTCACCGTCGATCCAGAGATAAATACATGCACAATCATTGTTTACTTTCCCTTTCCAGGCCTTATTACTGTTACTACCCGTTTGCACTCGGCCCTCGAGCGTGTCTGGGCAAAAACTTCGCTCAGGTAAATCCTTCACTTCCTGTTGACTTTTGTGCATCATGGAATAATGATAGTAATGATAATGGTAATATAATAAAGTGTGTGTGGGTGTGGATTACAGATGGAGGCAAAGGTGGTGATGGCCAAACTGCTCCAGAGGTTTGATTTCACCCTTGTCCCAGGACAGAGTTTTGCCATAAAGGACGTAGGAACCCTCAGACCAAAGAGTGGAGTCATCTGCACCATCAAACACAGACACCAGCAATGAACTCACACAAACACTGAATAAATGCGGGACTAAATGTGGACTGGACCAGAACTAAACCAGGACTAAAACAGGACCAAACCAAGTCTCCATCTAGCCTCATCTCCACACTACAAAAACTAAAATGTTAAAGTTAATATGACGTGAATCAAGAACATTTTTTGTGTTGATTTGAGTAAATTTCACAAATAAAATTGCTTACCAGTGGAATAAGTCTTTTTGTAGATGAAATGGGAAAATACACCTACTACCAGGAGATAAGAACAATGACAACTCTTTGTACTTAAAATAAGAAACTAAATCTTGTTGTTGAAATTAAAGGTGCATTGTGCAACTTTTCCGGTGGAGGGTCTGTCACCTGCTTGTCTCCATGGCAATGTTGTGTTGCCTGGAATGCTCCATGGTATGACATCAAACACATCTATCTAGTATTTATTCATTACTGGAGTTACAACTGTATTACACAAAAATACAATCATTCTCTCTCTGAATAAGGGCGCCTCTCCACAGATCTGACCTGTAATGTAGCCTATCTATAGTTGTCACCCTTGAGATAGATAGATAGAAGTTGCTCATGGCACCTTTAAGAAATAGAAAACTTATTCCATTGGTAGATCATTTTATTTTTCAAGTGAAATTTACTTAAAATCTTCTTCATTCAAGTAATTTGATCTTAATCACATTTGACTTTTTGCAGTGCAGCCAGGAGTGAGCAAGGACAGAAAAAAAGGCTCTAAAATGGAAAGGACAATAATAGATGTTTGCACTAAACCAGCACTAAAATATGCTGCAGTTAAAGGATTAGAATATATAATATAATGTAGTATAATGTTCTCTATGGGCTCATGTTGTGTGTAAGACACACAGATTTGATGTGTGGTATTTGACCTACTGTCATTTTTGTAACTGCTTTACTTATAAATAAAGTTGATTATAGATTATATGGTGCAATATTTCCTTAAATGTGTCCTATATGACACCAAATGGACTCCTGGGAGCTTTTAGCCATGTCCTAATGTTGTTACCTCCTCAAAAAGAATAAGAAGAATGCACCAATTTTCTACAGGGCTTTTCTGGACACTCAAAGACACTTTACAGAGCATTATTCCTTCACACCACACACTACTTTCATACTGGTGAACCCTTGTGGCTCAGTGGTCTCCCATCCAAGTACTAACTAACTTCTGAGATCTATCAGGGTCAGGCTTTGACAAGCCAGTGCAGACACAAAAAACAGACCTGGAGTTGTGTTTTGTTCACATATGTTTGAGTAACCTTTTATTAGTCTGTCTACAGCTCCAAAACTCAAAATGTTAGTTTTCAAGTGAACAGCTCCTTTTACTTTTTGTTCAGTAGTGATGGGCAGTTCCAGGGCTGAAGTTATCCAAATGATTCTAGAGAGTGTGTGGAGTTTAAAAACACAATGGAGCACTATACCGAGGTACAACATGACATCTCAAACAGAATGTGTGTGTTTCTGTTTGAGAGAAGAACTCAGCCTAAATGTGCAGGTTTGTGTGTTAAACATGTGAATGAAACAAAACACCTGCAGGTCTGTTTGTGATGAGGAAACAACATTAGAACATAGATCAGAAAATAGTGTGATGGGCCCTTTAATCACGAGCTGATCAACCTATTTTATGAGGCTACACAAAGTTCATTGTGTGGTTCATAAAAGGTCAGTGATGATAAAGATGTCTGATTCAAAAGAATGAAAGTTGAACCACACACCTCACGTCTCAAACAAGCACTTTGAAATGGTTAAAGGTCCATCTTACGTTATTTTATGATCTCTGTTCTAATGTCGTTTCCTCATCACAAACAGACCTGGAGTTGTCTTTTGTTTCATTCACACATTTTTAACACATAAACTCTGCAGGAGCTGAGGAGCCAGTCTACAGTCTACTGTCTACAGTAAGCAGACAGAGACAAAAGAACTGGCCCTCCAAAAATTCCCATCACTAGTCAGGCGTCCACCACTACTGCACATGCGCACGACCGCCAAACGTCTATTTGAGCTCCCGAGGCAGAAGTGCACTAAGAAGTAGCCTAACATTTTAAAAGTGTATTGGTTTTATTGTACGTTTGGCCAGTTTGCGTCAGAATACCTACATTAGATGATTGAATTGTTTGGATTTAATATTTGTTTTTATCGTTATCATTTTCAGCGGAATAGAACAAATCAAAATGAACTATGCAGATTCAGATAAATGAGTTGAAATTTGACATAGCTAAGGTATAAAGTTTGATCCTCATGTGCAAACAGAATCAAACCCGCGTTTCTAATCCAGAGAAATATGTGTCAAACTGTGGAGGTCAGGGTCAGGGTTTATCTTTATTGCATCTATACAACTGTAATGGAAAAATGTAAGGAGCTCATTTCGACGGGGCAGGCCATTTCGACGACACCAGCACAATGCAGGCTAAAGTGTAATTTTCTTTTCCAACATGGCATTCGTAAGCACACTGTGCGTGTTTTTCTTTGTGTTTCTCAGATATTGTCTTTACATCAAATACCAGCATCTCAAATATGACCAAAAAAATAGCACACGTAAGTTTCTTTGGGGTCAGCTCTATGTTCCCTTAATTTTAAGATTTTTTCTCAAAATGAAACTTTAAGTCAGGCCACTTTTATTTCTGTACCACATTTAAAGGGATGATTCAGGGTCATTTCAACCTCGGGCGCTGTAGTGGACCAAACTGAAAGGCAAAGACAAGGTATAAAAAGAAGTTTAAATTTAATAAAGTCAAAAATGATATAATTTAACAAAGGCTCAAATTAGGCAAATTATTAACCAAAAAGCCGGGCCCAACTGGGGTAACTTAAACTGAACAAAACAAAACAAACCCAACCAGACAAAGGAACAGAGGTGTTTAAATACTTGAGGACCAACTAAAGCTAAACACAAGTGGGAGGAGTTACACTAATTAATTAACTAAACCAATAACTTAATCAAAGTAACAAAAAGGCAAATAATTATAATACAGAAAATAATAAGTGATAATAAAGTGACCTTAAAGCAAACTTTACAAACTAACTTAATAAAACTAACTAAACAGTGCTCCCTCCCCCCTTGTTGAGTCATGGTGGTCTCTTCCAAGGGTCCTCAGTCTGGTGCTCAGACATATATTAACTAAAATGTGTGCACTCAAATTAGAATATAAGTCAAAATAAAGGGAATTAAATTATGTGTAATGTAATTAACTTGATGGAAATGAAATGAAATGAAATAGCTGGCAGAGGGATCCACTACATGCACCATGACCTCTGCGTGACCTCTGTAGTCATCTGCTGCTGGACAATAGTCAGGTATAATTGATGACCAAATTGAGAGAAATGGGGATAAATTCTGATGCATATTTCATCAGGGCCTAATTTTGGGAGAAAAAAAAAACAACTTAGAAATGAGGGAACAAAGGGCTGAGGGAACACACACACACACACACACACACACTCCCAGTTTGTGTAATACTCATAACTTGCATGTTTTGTTTGTTTAAATGCAGTTTTCTCTTGGGCCATTCTCCAATTTTGGTGGAGACAATGAAAAAGGATGAAGTCATTCATGACAAGTTTATATAATGGTGAGAAAAATGCAACAGTAAAAGTGAGTTTTAACATTTCAACCTTGTGATCTCGTGAAGTGGCAGCTTTCATCTTAACAACTGTATTTTACCAGTGGTAAAAGGCCTGCAAGTCCTTCCCTGCTGGCCTAAAAAGATATGTGCATCACAGTCTGATGTTAATTATATTATTATTAAATAATTCTGCCTGCTTTCTTTCAGAGCTTTTCCAATGCTTGTGCTGCTTCCACACATGTATTTTAATTTTAAAGCATTTGACCAATCATTTCAGCCGTCATTTGTTGGCAGGCAGAGTCAAAATCAAAGAAGTCTAAGGGCCTTCACAATCTGTTTTGCAGGCCCTCGAACACAAAAGAAATGTCCATGAAACTGTTCAACCAGTCAGATTTTGAGTTGGTGTGAGCAGGGCCTTTAGCAGGTGTATGACAACGTCACCAGACAGAGAGATCAGAGCACGAACCAGCCAAAGCACCAAACTGCATCTGTAGCAGTTACGCCAATCCAAATTACACCAGTGGTGTAATAGGGATTTTTTAAGTGGGAGTACGTGATTCCTGACTGAACCAGGAGGACTAAACCAGGACTACACCAGGTCTAAACCACATCTTGGACTTGAGAGAGAGAGAGAGAAAGAAAGAGAGAGAGAGAGAGAGAGAGAGAGAGAGAGAGAGAGAGAGAGAGAGAACCCTGAGCCCGTGGAGCAGGGTGTCCACAAAGCTCAATCTGGTGACGGCTGCGCAGGAACACCTCCAGGCCCGTCCCAACACTCTGGTTCAGTCCTGGTTTAGTCCTGTTTTAGTTCTGGTTCAGTCCTGGTTCAGGTCACTCAGTAGTGCAGTGTCATGAGCCTATGCAGGTTGTTTTCACCAGTGCCAGAAGCTCTGGTTTGACATTTAAGTTGTAGCTATTTGATATTTGTTATTTTTTATATCTATATAATTATTTTATTATATATTAGTGAGTGGATGTCGCATGCTCGTGTACCACGCTCACTACACCCCTTATCTATCTGCAATGCAATGGCTCTTGACTGTATTTCTGTATACAGTAATAAGATGGATTTTATATCCATAAATAGTTATTGAGGAGTGGATTGTTTCAGACGGAGCACTGCTGAAAGTCTAGCTGTGAAATGCACACTCCACCACTGACTTTTATCTTTAGTTGAAAACACAGTGGAGCACTTCCTGCATTGCCACATGACATCACAAGTTGGAATAGTGTTTGAGAGACAGACTCAACCAAAATCTGCAGGGTTTGTGTGTTAAACATGTGTGAATGAAACAAAACACACCTCCAGGTCTGTTTGTGATCAGGAAACTACAATATAACAGATGAGAAAAGAACGTAATATTGGCCCTTTAACAAATGAAAATACTACACTCTCTTTGTATGTTATTAGTTGTAGTAGGTTTGGGGTGTGTTTCAACATTTACCCTGTAATTGTATTACTAATATTGTGTAACCATGTCCCCCTCAGCCCTCTGCACTCTCCTCTAGTATTGGTTCACTTATTGCCATAGTAACATGTTATGTAAAGTAAATAAATTCCTGTTTTAGGTCAGAGATATATGGACCACTGTACAGGATCAATATACTACATTATCTGAGGTAAGCCTCATTCAACCTCTTCACAGTGGTGAATGAAGTACTCAATTTTGTTACTTAAGTAAGAGTACAGATACCAAACTAAAACAAAAAAGTCTCCAGTATGAAGAATCACATGGAAAAATCTACTTAAGTAAAACTATGAGTACAAATACATGTTTAAAAATGGTAAATAAATAAGTAATATAAATAAATAAATACATTAATTAATTAATAATAAGTAAAAAGTAAAAGTATTTTTTGTATTTTTGTTATGCAGTTTTTGCAGTTTAGTCTGCCTACATCCCCAAGCTCAAAATGCTCTGTTTCACCTTGTGATGTCATGACACAGTAGTTTTCAAGTTAACTACTACGTTTTACTTTTAGTTCAGTGGAGATTGTCAATTCCAGGGCTGAAATCATCCAAATTATTCTACTGAAAGTCTGTGGGATTAACCCTCACGCTCTCCTTGGGGTCACATTGACCCGAAGAAATTTTTTTCCCTTCCTGCTCTCTTGGGGCAAGTCAATCAGACCCAAAAATTTATTTTCTCGCCTGGTGAGAATTTATTTGAAAATAAATTTTTGGGTCTGATTGACCCGCCCCAAGAGAGCAGGAAGGGAAAAAAAAATTCTTCGGGTTAATGTGATCCAGAGGAAAGCGTGAGTTAAAAAAAAAAATTACAAAATGACATCACACAGTGGAACAGAGTGTTTTCTGTTTGAGAGAATAACATAGCTTAAATGTTCAGGGTTTATGTTAAATATGTGACTGAAACAAAACACAACTCCAGGTGTGTTTAATGAGGAAAACATTTTAACACAGACTTATCATACTAAATAAAGATATTCATTTGAGCTGTAGTTTGGTCATGAAAATATAAAAAATACTGACAATCTGAGTCCAGTCTTAGTTTCTTGGTTGATACAATTCTAATTCATATCCTTTTACTTTTCTCTGACATCATTTCAGGAGATTCTCATGTCCTCAAAATACCCCAAAGATAAATTCCTCTACAAGCGTCTCTTCAACCTTTTCGGTCAAAGGTAAAAGTCTAAACACACAGTCATTTTTTAATCTGTATTTTCTTTATTTTGCTTCATATCTTTTCTATTTTTGTTTAGGTTTTTGGGGAATGGTCTGGTGACAGCGCGAGACCACGAGCAGTGGCACAAACAGAGACGCATCATGGACCCCGCCTTCAGCAGCCTGTGAGCCACAACTGCACATACTTGTATTTATTACAATGATTACTTATTATTTATAATATAATTTATTATTTTTATATTATGAGGAACATGGGGTGACACCATAGACTGTATATAGAAGTGGACTGAGGGAGTGTGACGTCACCCATATCATTGGATCCAGTCAAATGAAGCTCAAGAGATGAGCAGTTATAAGCGTTATTGGAGCAGAGTTTCATATAAGGGATAGGAATTTATTTAAAGGCAAAATGGCGACATCTTAAGAGTAAAATGATGAGGCTCACTGCAGCAGTTACAGAGAGACGGTTAACTATTTTTCAGTGTAACTAGTCAATTGGAGCCAGAGTGGATGGAGCTGGAAGTGCCCCCACGCTCATTTCCTATTTCAAATGGTGAGCGGGTTAACTATGTACCTTTATACATTCTCTGGGTGATAGTACTTCAGTTGGTACAGGTTTTGTTCACTGATCTTAAGGTGGGTGGTTCCCGCTCTCGACATAAACATCATTGGTAGAGCCGTCAGATCTATAGATAAATGCAGTTTTTGTGTCCTTAGGCAAGACACTTACCCCACCTCACCCCAGTGCCTGTGTACATTGTTTTATAAATGTGTGTGTGAATGAGTGAGTGGTTTCTTGATGTAAAACACTTTGAGCCTTGAAGGTGGAAAACACTGTTTAAAAATTTGACCATTTACCCATTGACAGGGTGTCCTAAAAAATTTGACATCATTTCACAGGCCAGTAATTTTGGCAGTTCTTGTTGAAATAACCTAGCGTTTTCATAGAATGTATAGAAAACAATTAAGATTTTATATTTAACGTTTTTTGTTATTTTTGTTCAGGTTGAGACATGTCATTCATTCCCAAAGAGAAGTCATTTTGCGTCTTGGAATCTGCTCGCACACATATGTAATCCTTTAGTCTTGCATAAGCAGCCTTCATCTTTACATTTTTGGTACCAAGTCCAAATTTGTTTGCCAGTTGGTGACGTTTTTCCAAATGTTGCATTGAAGGCTGCACAGTCTTGGGTGTGTGCGAGCAGATTCCAAGACGCAAAATAACTTCTCTTTAGGAGTGAACGGCATGGCCCAACCTAAAACAGAACAAAAATAAAACCCATCCATCCATCCATTTTCGTCCGCTTATCCGGGGCCGGGTCGCGGGGGCAGCAGCCTAAGCAGGGACTCCCAGACTTCCCTCACCCCAGACACGTCCTCCAGCTCCTCCACTGGAACCCCGAGGCGTTCCTAGACCAGCCGAGAGACATAGTCCCTCCAGTGTGTCCTGGGTCTTCCCCGGGGTCTCCTCCCACCCTATATGATGAGTTCCACACAGAGGCCAATTACGTCGCCCGGATTGGCGTCACCAGGGCCCCACCCTGGAGCCAGGCCTGGGGTGGGTGCTCGCCAGCAAGCGCCTGGTGGCTGGGCCTCCCCCCAGAAGTGGAGCCCGAAGGAGCGACGTGGGGCCGCCCTCACGTGGGCCCACCACCCGCGGGAGGATCCATATGGGGCCGGTGCAGAGAGATCTGGGCAGCAGTCGACGGCGGGGGCCTCGGCGACCGGATCTCCGGACATGGAGACTAGCAAAAATTAAACATTAAATATAAAATCTTGATCTGTTTCTATACATTCTGTGAAAATTTTAGGTTATTTCAACAAGAATTGCCAAAATGATTTGCCTGCGAAATGTCAAATATTTTGGGACAGTCTGTATAATGTGGTAGACTTCATAATTGAAATAATAAATGATCCTCAGTATTGTCCTGTTTGAATGCAGATATCTGCCCTTTAATGAGAGAGCAGACAAACTGATGGAGAAGCTTTCTGAAGAGGCTGAGAACAAAACTGTGGCCAACATGCTCCATCTGGTCAACTGCGTCGCACTGGACATTATCACCAAGGTAAAATGTATAAGATGGAGGTGAGGTGTTATGGTCTCTGGATGTATGTATGTTCATTCTCTGTTCATCCTCCATAATCAAACAGATCTTGTCAAAGCCTGATCTCGTCAGAAGCTCAGAGGTCGGGCCTGGTCAGTACTTGGAAGGGAGACACTGGGAAAATCAGGAGCCACAGGGGGGCGCCAGTCACATAAACAGTCATTGTGTCTTTAGGCAAGACACTTCACCCACATTGCCGAGTATGAAAGTAGTGTGTGTGTGAGTGATGGTGGTCGGAGGGGCTGATGGCGCCAAATGGCAGCCTCGCTTCCATCAGTCTGCCCCAGGGCAGCTGTGGTTACAACAGTAGTTTATCACTACTGAGTGTGGAGTGAATGAATAATGCTCTGTAAAGCGTCTCTGAGTGTCCAGAAAAGCGCTGTATAAATTTTATGCATTATCATTATTATGATTATTAGACAGACACACAGTGGATTTTTACTTATTTTTTTTATATACCTTATTGATTGTTTTGTGATAAAATGTGACTAAAAAGTGATAAATGAAAATGTCAAAAATGAAATCACTCTTGTTGATCAAAATATAATAAAAATCTTTAACCAAAATTAAAGTTTATTGCAAAAATGCATTGTTTCTAATTGGAGTCATTTTTGACCCCCTCATTGGAAGAGTGTAGGTGTTGGTAGGTCAGGCATCCAAGGGCTAAAACACATTTTTCTGATATTTAAAATTTTTCTGAAATTAACATTTCAATGAAAACTTCTGAATACTAATTTTAATAATTATTCTGCTACAGTTTCCTGCAAGGTACGAAACTGCAGGTCATGACTTGGACTTGAGTCAAACTTGAGTCACTTTTTCGATGAAATGGACTCTGAGACTTGAGCTCTGTGACTTGAAGACTTGATGCTTCTCAATAAAAAAGACAGTCGATACATGCAGTGTTACACAAACAAACTGGAACATGTCCCTCCCACTTCTCTGTTTGTTACTATGGCGACAGTAACTGAAGTACTGTGATACTGGATCATCAAATGTTTTATAATAATATACAGTACAATACAGTAAAACAGAGGGAACTACTTAGACCATGATGCTTTGTTTCATTTCAGTGCAGAGTACAGAAATAAAATAAGTGTTGCAAAAATACAAACTGTATTTGGATTAGAGACTTGATTAGAGAGATTAGAGAAATGACTTGAAGCTCAGATCAGAGGACTTGGACTCGACTTGGACTTGGAGTAAAAAACTTGAAAAACTTGCAAAAGAATGACGTGGTCCCACCTCTGACAGTTACTTTTTCATTTGGTGGTGTTCAAAGTTCAGTTACTTTTCTAAAAGTAAAAGGAACACATTATGTTTCTGATCTTGTAATTTTGTTTTTAAACTGAACAGAATTAGTGATCAAAATAAATAAATAAAAGCACAAGACACTGTGAGACAAATATAAAGCTGTTTTAATCCTGTTACTCTGTCATTTAGGTTCAACTCTGCATCAACACAATACTCTACAAAATACATTTTCATGCAGGTATGCAGTATTCTGTAACTATATACACCACTTAATATGACACATTTGATTGACAGCTGAAAAATGGAGGATGGAGGAGACAAATCAAGAAGGAAGCAAGGAAAGAGAAATGAGACAGTCTGAGAGTTCTATTTTAGAGAGTCTTATATTGATTTTTGAAAGTTTGGAGCAATTTACACAAAAGAAACACACATTTTAACAGTACATTTAACAGTTCATGATAGAACTAATATCCACAAAATATTGCTAGAATAAAAATTTAATAGATTTTCAGCCAAAATATCACTGCAGATGGTGTATTTTCAACAACAAAACTGTATAGGCTATTAGTAGCCTAAATATAGCCAGAGATGCATGATGTCCAACTGAGTGGTTTTCTGTGGTTTATAACAGACCGCAAATGACCACAACTTTTTATTCACTTAACTTTTGTTTCCTTTAATATTAAATTGCATTGTAATTATTATTACTTCTATTGCATCTCCCTACAATTTCACCAAATGCATTTTTACTCACAGCGCATTCACAAACCAACAAATTGTTAACACACAAGTTAACAAAGAAAACACAACTCCCGGTCTGTTTTTGGAGGTAATAACATTGTAACGTGACTTAAAGCTCACAAGAGTCAGTTTTGCGAAATGTTGGACCATTAAGCAGCCGATGTCTCCAACATCTGTTTGCGTGAATTGTTGTGATCTTGGAATTATGTAACTCCTCAGGGAGCGCTCACACTTTCACACAATTGGAACTAAAGATTAGAACTTAAACTGGGACTTGCACGAAACTAAACCCGAGCTAGACCAGACCTAAACCAGAACCAGACCAAATCAACTCTGCATAGACAAACTAGTCCAAAACCAGGACCAAACCTAGTCCAAAACCAGGACCAAACCAGGACCAAACCGGGATCAGATCAGGACACATAACGCGGAAGTTGTGAGTCCTGCACGAACTAAAGACTAAAGTGTCTTTTTCCGTCATTTTCCAACATGGCAATCGTAAGCGCACTGTTAAACTGGCTTCCTCGGGTCCTTTCATTGTCTCTGTGTGTGTTTTTCTTTGCGTTTCTCGGATATTGTCTTTACATCAAATACCAGCATCTCAAATATGACCACATCCCTGGACCGCCACGAACCAGGTACGTTATGAATTATGGAAAAAGTAGTTTACGTACTCATAACTTGCACATTTTGTTTGTTTAAATGCAGTTTTTTCTTGGGCCATTCTCCAATTTTGGTGGAAGTGATGAAAAAGGATGGAGGCGTTCAGGAAAAGTTTCTAGAATGGTGAGAAAAACGCAACAGTAAAAGTGTGAGTTTAACGTGCGGGTTTTATTACAACACTGACGCACTTTGAAATGAACAGTTTTCTTTTTACTAACATTTAGCCCTATATTACGCACAGTTGACTCTTGTGAACTTTAATTCATGTTTTAATGTTTTTACCTCCTCAAAAAACAGACCTGGAATTGTGTTTTGTTTAACTCATGTGTTTGAGTTGTAATATTCTTTTACTGTTTAAAAGTTTAGCCAAGACGCGTCTTTAGACTGCGTTTATTTACACTGCATAACGGCAGCTACGGTAGGGACATATAAAATGTGATTTCACAATTCACCTACATTACAGAATACATTGCATCCAACTTTGTCAGTAATAAAATATAACTGACTGAGAATAGTACAAATATCATATTATTGTTATTATGCTCAGAGATTAGAACAGTGTAATAATGAAATAATGAAACAGTGAAACTTTTTTATTTTTTTATTTTTTTTATATAACCCAACTAAAGTAGGAAGGAGAGGTTACTAGCACATCACTTCCTTTCAAGCGTCTATACTACACCTGCCCCTGACTACAGCAGTGCATTGGATGTAATAAGTTCATAAGTTCAGTTTTTCAGGTGCGCTCACCATTCTGCCCCGTGTGGTGTGATACAGTTCACCAGTTTCGGCTTGTGGGTGCTGTGATAAGACTGTCAACCATAATGCCAATAGCTCCAGTGATGTCCTCTAGCATTCGGTCCATGATGCGCTGAAATATCTCAGATGCGCATTTGATGCCAAATGGTAAACTCATCCACCTGAAACTTCCAATAGATGTGTTGAATGTCATCAGGAATGATAAAGAGTCATCCAATTCAATCTGTAGGAACCCTAACTTTACATCCAGCACTGAAAACACTTTCACATTTGGCATTGTTGACACGACTTCTTCTGTTGTGCACATGGGATAGTGCTCTCGTTTCATAGCATTGTTCAAGTCACTTGGATCTATGCAGATTCAGATTTTGTCTTTGTTTGTGACTACGACCATCGAACAAACCCATTCAGTTGGTTGGTCAACTTTGGCAATTTAGCCATCTTGCACCATCTCATTTAGCTTTTCCACGACCTTTGTTCTGAGTGCGACAGGTGTCGGTACACAGGATGTACCATGGGTTTTCCTTTTGGGTTCATCTTTACTGTGTATTTACCTGGTAGTGTCCCTGTAGTGTGTGCCAGCTCTGGGAAGTTCTCAAGACCAGCAGGTGTGCCTGTAGTTGTGGCAGTATTTTTAACTGCTCACATTGTCCGTAACCCTATTGTCTTGTCAAGAGTCAAGTCTCACAATCAGGACTAGGGCCTCTGCTGTTGTGCCACTCAGTACATTCTCTTGTGCAATGTCCACAATTTCAAACTCTGCTTTCGTTTTGTGCTCTTTAACAGTAGGTCAACTGCTGCAACAGGCGTTATTTTGTGGTTGGAGTAGGTTCTGAGCCCTCTTTTGGAGGCTTTCAGCTCATCTGTGTGGTCTAGCGACTGGTAACAGTTCAGAGTCTGCGTGTTACACTTTGCACCTGTATCTATCCTAAACTGCACTTTCTGCAACAAAACATCAGTGTTGACCAACCACTTATCATCTGCCAATGTTGATACTGGCACTGCATCTGTAGTCAGGTTAATATTTCAGTATTTCCTCTTTACTCATGTCATTTGTTGACTCCATGTTCACTTCAGTCACGGAGTGACTGCGACAAACTGATGCCCAATGGTTTAGTTTATGACAGCAGGAGCAAATGGAGCCTTTTGCTGGGTATTTACCTTGATTCCACTTGCGCTTGGGGTTTATATGCCTTTTTGTTCAGTGTGTTGAACTTTGGTTTGCTTGACATTGCACAGACCTGTTCATCCTCCTCTCACACAATTCTCATTTGCGTTTGCGACATTTCAAACTGTTGGGGGATTTCAATGGCTTTGGCCAGTGTCAGCTCCTCACCTTTGTCAAGCAGCCTCTCTTGGACACGTTTTTCTCTCACAGTCACTATTATGGCGTCTATCAACATGTCATCCAAGTCGTCATACTCACAGTCCAGTAACAGCAGCCTCAAATCTTTCACGTGATCAAAAGTTTCAGTTGCACCTTGTTTCCTTTATTTGAAATGATGCCTGGCGATCTGTTTATCCTTTTCACCATCAGCCCATTCCAATGTTTTGTAGATTTCTCTCCCTTGTTCTCCAATCCTTGTGCTGTTCCAACCCACCTTCTGCTTGGACTCACAGACAGGGGTCCTGTGAACACAAAGCTAACGTAGCTCCAAAATCCTTGGAACTCTTGATACAAATTTGCTGCATCCCTGTCAATCTTCAGGTGATCAATCTGCATTTTCATGGCTATGCAGGTAACTTACTGTACCAAACAGCTTTCTGATATCATGTAATATTATACCCGAGATATTTCAGTGCATCACGGACCGAATGCTAGAGAGCATCACCGGAGCTACAGGCATTATGGATGACATTCTCATCGCAGTGTCAACAGTGAGAGAACCCAACTAAATACTGAAAAAGTTGAGAGAGCCACAATCTGCAACCTAAAACTGAACTTTAACAAGTGTCGGCAGTCGTCAATGGCTTTTGTAGGACAT